GTGTGGGTGTGTGTGTGTGTGTGTGTGAGTGAGTGTGTCTGTGTCTGTGTGTGAGTGTGTGTCTGTGTCTGTGTGTCTCTGTGTCTGTCTGTGTCTCTGTGTGAGTGTGTGTCTGTGTCTCTGTGTGAGTGTGTCTCTGTGTGTCTGTCTCTCTTGAGTGTCTGTCTGTGTCTCTGTGTGAGTGTGTCTCTGTGTCTGTGTCTCTGTGTGAGTGTCTGTCCGTGTCTCTGTGTCTGTCTGTGTCTCTGAGTGTGTCTGTCTGTGTCTCTCTGTGTCTGTCTGTGTCTCTGTGTGAGTGTGTGTCTGTGTCTCTGTGTCTGTCTGTGTGTGTGTGTGTGTGTGTCTGTCTGTGTCTCTCTGTGAGTGTGTGTCTGTGTCTGTCTGTGTCTCTGTGTGAGTGCGTGTCTGTGTGTGTCTGTGTCTCTGTGTGAGTGTGTGTCTGTGTCTCTGTGTGACCCAACACACACACACACCTCTCACACACTCACAACACACACACAACACTCATGCTCACACTCACAACACACACACACACACACACACTCACAACACACACTCACAACACACACTTAAACACACACAAAAAAAACTCAAATAAAAATGAATTATTAAAAAGTATTTTAAATGTTCTTGCATGTAACCGAATACAAATATATTATAAAAAATATTTTATTATATTTTTACATATAATATAAAATATAAATTTTTGTAAAATAATTTACATATAATTTTTATACATTGTTATATATTTTATATACAGCTTTTTATAATATATATTATATTATATTGAATTATGAGTGTGAGACAGATGTGTGTGTGTGTGTTGTGAGTGTGTGACAGATGTGTGTGTGTGTGTGTTGTGAGTGTGTGACAGATGTGTGTGTGTTGTGAGTGTGTGACAGATGTGTGTGTGTGTGTGTGTGCAGCTGGTGCTGGCGGTGGGTGTTCTGCTGATGGTGGTGCTGGTGTTCACGTATCCTCACAGTGTGCCGCTGCTGGACTCCTCGAGCGCGGCGGGACACAACAGCTCTTCTCCTCTCAGTCACGCGCGTCTGCTAGCGCTGCCCATCACCCAGAAATACAAGCTGCACGGTGAGACGCCATCAGACGCTCCGCACTCTGCACTCGCTCTCAGTGCGTGTACATCTCAACACACGCGCGTGTGTGTGCAGGTTTTCACGAGTGGTGGGTGTCTGGCGCGCTGCAGATGCCGCAGGGGAACTGCTCGGCCTGCGCAGACGTGACAGCGGTGCTAGAGCTGAGAGCGTCTGCGGGGATCGAAAAACACACACAGCCACTGCTGCTCAAGGTACAGACATGCACACACACTCACACACACTGTGTCATGATGGAGGTTAACGTGTGTGTGTGTGTGTGTGTGTGTGTGTGTTTCAGGGCGGAGAGTCTCTGTCTCGCCGTGTGTCTCATCTGGAGCAGTTTTCACAGCCGGACACACTCACAGCAACACCTGCCAACTTCACCCTGCTCTGGTAACCAGCAGCATTCGGGTTATTATATGATCATTAGCATCTGTATGTTGTGTGTGTTTGATGCTCGTGTGTGTGTCAGGAGTTTCTCGTCCAGTCCCAAAGAGACGGTTCTCCACTGGTTGTTTCCTGATGCTGAGATCTGCCCTCTGCTGGAGAACACAGGCACAACACTGCAGCGCTGCCAGCTGACCCACAGCACCAGCACACAACACACGGTCAGAACACACACAGAATCACTCTCTCTCTCACACACACACACACACACACACACACACTCACACACACACTCACTCACTCACTCACACA